ATATTAAATATAAAAGGTTAAATATATAAATATTGTCCAATAAATAAACAAATATCGCCAAATCAAACGGGCAATTCCTTGCTGATCAGGCGATTAGATTGTGACCACTCGCTTTAAAGAGGAATCAGCGAGTTGGATGAACCGAGAGAAATTTACGGCCATGCATCCCGACCACCAAAAAAAAAAAAAAAGGTGAAGTCTAGGTGTTATTTTGCTGAAGATGCCACAAAAGTCAAGCTACAACAACTTCTTCTTGTTTTTTTTTTTTTTGGTGAAAGCTACAATAACTTGTTATATTTAAAAAATGCTACAACCTTGTGAGTATTTGACACAATTTTGCCCTAAAAAATAACTTAAGTTACACAAAAAAGGAGAATGTCATTATTAATTAAAAATAAGGATAAAAAAGATTTAAAAATTTAAAAATAGGGAACCAAAGATCCTTTAATGAATTGGTAAAATTTTTTTTTTGCTATCGTTCCATGATTTGGAACTACCAAAATAAGAACTTGCAAATGAAATCTACGATTTTATTTGCAATTGTCAAATATATCATTATTTTTCATTATTTATAAGAAAAAATATATATGTAAATTCTTATAATTTCACTCAATTTTAAATTGAATTCTTGCAATTTATTTTATTTTAATCAAATCTTTATATTTTCATTCTTTATATATGTTAACCCAGGATGTTGAAATTAATAGTAAATTATTAAATTTCACAAAACAAAAATACTCTTAAAGTTTACAGGAAATTTAATTTAACACTTTTAATCAAGATTGAAAAAAAATTGATTTGACATATTTTTACATTTTAATGAAAATTATATATATATGTATATATATGTATAAATGTTTAGAAAACAATCTCTTTATACAAATTTTGAGTTATAAAAATTATATAATTAATTACAAAGCCATATAATTTTTTAACAAAAATATAAAAGTTTTAAATTTTTTGAAAAAAATTTAAGCATTCTAAAATTCAGGAATTAAAAAATTTAATTAATCAAATTATCAGGATTTAATTAAAATAAAATAAATTACAGAGACTTAATTTAAAATTGAAAAAAATTGTAAATAGTTGTAGATATATTTTCTCTATTTATAATACTTTCATACTTTTATTTGTGACTCTCAAAATATGAATTTATAAGTAAAGTTCATCAATTTATGAATAAAAATAATTTTCAAGTAATAAAAAGCCTGCTTGTTTAACATTAAAAAGTAAATAATTTTTACATAGTTTAGAGATTTTATAAAAATAAATTTATTTTATAAAAATTTTATAAAAAATAGATATTAATTTATGTTTAGTTACAATAATAAAAAATTAATTATTAATTAGTTATTTTTAAATTTTACAATATCTTTTTTATTTTTATTTTATAGAAATAATTTATTATTATAGTATTTTAAAAAAATTTAATATCTTCACATATCTCACATTTTTAATACACATTTTTTCATCTATAATATTAGATTATTTTTAGAAATTACTCAAAATGCTTTTTTAAAATAATCATAAATTTATTTTTTTAAATTTTAATTATTTTTAAAAGTTTAAATAAATATAGTAAAAACTCACAAAATATATTTAAAAAATAATTAATTTTTTATAAAATAAGTTAAAATAAAGCGGTCCAAAATTACATTTCACAAATTTTTCCTTTACATATCAGTGAATTTCCAATAAAGTATACATAATTTATTTTTTATTTTATAAATTTTATCCATGTTTCAAACTATGCAACGAAGGTGTACATACTTCTAGTAGGGACGTGTTTACATTGGGTATAGAGGGGGCAATTGCCCCCGCTAGAAAATAAATTTTTTACCTAAACTTCAGTTAAAGCTACACTTGCCTCCTTTTAAAATTGTAATTGTCCCCATAAAAAAATTAATTGCCCTACATTTTCTTTAAAATTATCAAGCATACATATTTAAAAATATCATTTATTCTTATATTTATTGTAAAAATATATTTATGTTGCAAATGATATTAATATATATTTTTAAAATTATCATATATTTTATTTATATATTATTTTTATCAATATTTAGAACTATATTTTCTTCAAAAGAAATTAATATTTATATTTAATATAAATTTTGCCTTTTCTAATAAATTTTTCTAGATCCGCCGTTGATTTTTAGAGTTCTAGTAAGAACAATTTTTTCAATTTCCTCCTTGATTATTTTATTTATTTTTCTTTTCTTCTATCACTTGGATTAACATATATCGTATCTACCATTATGAGAAGCGACGGATGTAAAGGGCGTCCCTGCCCTTTTCACAAAACAATCATTTTTGGTTCCCCTTTTTTTGGGGAAAAAAAATTATCATTCAAAATTTTAAATGTTCTGATTAAGTATTTGAAATTAAAATCATTTTTTATTATCTATCTAATTAATTTCTATTAATCTTATTTCCTTGTTCATATTCTGCCCCTTTGTAAGCACAGATCTCTCTCTCTCTCTCTCTCTCTCCCCCTCACACACACACACACACACACAAACATATATTTATATATTTAAAATGCTATACTATTTTCACCGATATAATCTAATAAAAATATTGACAGATTTTAATAATAGATAATACATTGAAAAGTTTGTAGCTCGTGAATTTTTCATTACAGTTTTTAAATTATAAATACAAAACTAAAAAGTTGAGTGAGTGGCGATTGAGTCCAAATGTTTAATTTCCCTCTTATAAGATTACCATTGATGAACTCTGGTGGAGAACAATAATATTTTTTTATTATTTACAAATATTTTTTTTATCAGAGACAATTACACACAAAACACAATTGAATATTGACTATATGCATATTTCTTGACGAGGATTCATTTGAGCATTGTCATTGAAGGAGCTGGGGGACCTAGAAGAAGGGGACTAAGAAACCATATATGAGTTTCGTGTTATTGAACTCAAAAAAAAAAAAAAAAAAGATGCAAGCTAAACATGTCACAATCAAAAATGCTACTCGTGCATGCTTATAAGCATTTGGGAGATTCGAGCAAGCATTTACGTGTCTCTCATTGACTAGTTCGAAGGATTGATGTTTAAATCTGTAAAACTCTTCAGTACAATTTTCTGACCAGACGGGCAGATCAACAACCTGCTTTCTTCGACGGCCTTCTTCAGACGAGTCTCTTGATGGAAACTTACAAGGATAAATCATTTAATGCAGTTTACCTTCCAATTTTGTTCTTGAAAAGGAGACTGAACCTGGTTTGTAAGTAACCACTTCTAGATCTCTATTACTTGTTTCCCATATCTCATGGCTGATTCCAAGGGAGTGTATACGTATGACTCTCCTACGTATGATTCTCCTACTATATCTGACAATGATCCAGTCTTGATTAACATAACAATCGACCCGCATCATCACTTTCTGTGCAACCTGTTCTAGATTAAACTATTTCTTATTGCCCCATGTTACGAATTCGTCAGATAGTTCTAAGGTAATACTTTGGCGTGAAAAAATTATGTATGCCATCCTTGTAATATTGGAAGTCTAAGATCTCAAAATATACTATAGTCAGTTTTATGGCCAAGTAACTGTACGAACTTGCAACTGCGTAGAGTCCCACATCGGGCAGGCAATGAAACCGAAGAGCATGGAGCAACTATAAAAGCCGAACACAGCAAAGTAATTTTTATTTCAATTTTTTGTTGGGTAGAAAGGATGGCGAAGCCCAATTGTATAGCTTAAGTAGTTGTTGGGGGATTGAGATCCAACACTATCCTTAAGCACTAACTTAACTTAACATCTGATACGTGGGTCCCTTAGTCCATATAACATTAAATTAAGTTTTTTAATGGGAAGGGTTCATTATAGAAGCTTGCTACTGGAATCGTAGCCCGAACGTTTAGCTACTGCTGGGCCCTGGCGCACCCCACCAAGCCCAGTTGTAACAGATTACACTACTATAATTTTGATTTTGATCCTGAATCATGGATAAGAATAATAATTTATTTAATTCTTTTTTCCTTATGACGGTAATTATTAATAATTAATCTCATCTCAGCTATAGGCGTTCTTTTTGAAATTACTTTTTCAATTAAATATTTTCATATAACTTAATGCAAATACTTCCATCTATATAATTATTGAATAAAATATAATTTTGGGTTTATATAGTTTACTCAAATTTTATTATAAATTTTATATTTTTTTTCATTATCCCATATCCACACACTTTTTTTTATCTACACCTTAGGTTCTTATAATACCACTTTTAGGAGAATTTGGAATACTAAAAAAATATAAAAAGGAATTTATAAAAAATTTAAATAAAGTATAAGAATTTAAAATTATATTTTTTTTTAATTATCAACTAGTAACCTCCAATCCAAAGTCCAAGCCTTGCTTAGAATTTGCTAACGTGCGTTAATACCACAAAAAAAAAAAAAAGAAAAAGAAAAAGAAAAAAAAGGCTTCCATTGTTTTAAATACTTATACAGAAACTGTTTAGATTGTTGATATAGATTTAAGATTATAAAGTTTATACATTTAAATTCCATAATTATATTTTGTTTTAATTAAAAATAAATATATTAAATATATAAAATTAAGTATATAATTATTCTTCCCCAACATCAAGTCTCTAGATGTAATTTTTGTTAAACAAATCCATACATGGACAAATTTTAATGAATACTCCCTTCGTTCAAAAGTATAAAATATTTTTTAAGAATTGAATGTTCAAAAATATAAAATATTTTTAATTTTTTAAAGTGTAATCATTATCTTTTTTTTTTTAAAGTATTTTTACTGATAGTGACTTTATATTTATTATAGAGTGTTTAATGAAGATAAATATAAAAAGATATAATTAATATAAAAATTAATAATTACTTATTAAAAGTTAAAATTAAATTAATTTTTTTTATATTTTTAAATGGAAGGTGTAACGATTAACATTAACACGCACTAAAAAATTAATTATTCTCACTTTTTCTTACATTCATTAAAAAAGTTTCAATAACTGGTCGAAGACACGAAGCCCTCCGGGCCTCCACTTCGCTGGTGCGTGTGGGGCTGTTGGCGCCGGTGAACGAGGGAATTGAAGAAGGGGGAGGCGTTTCGGAAGTTCCATTTTCTCTGTCCGCCAACGATGGTAACATCCGTCCGATCGGTTCGCAACCTTGCATCGTTCTCTTCACTGTCTTTCCGTCTGCTGAGAGATTGCCATTTGGCTCCACCAGTCACCAACACACCAAACGTTCTCCCCCAAACTCGGTCACTCATTCATCACAGATTCATTCCACAAACTAACATCTTGACCAGAAGTGACACTCGCGCATTGTCGACGTCTTCTGTACCCGTGGCAAAAGCTTTCGATGCAAATAGGCATCGCAAGAGTTCTTTGAGGCGGGTTCAGCCTCTAAATCGTAAGTTGAACCCAAGGGCACATGCTAATTCTGCGATCGAGCTTGCATTGGATTCTGTTGTCAAAATATTCACCGTTTCTTGCAGCCCCAACTACCTTCTCCCTTGGCAAAATAAGTCCCAGCGCGAAACAATGGGTTCCGGTCAGTTTGTTTTATTCACTTCACTGTTCCTGGCTGGCCATTGTCAATAATTCTCACTTCACGGTTAATTTCTGCTTCACAGTTTACTTTCATTTATGTTCTGAATTGTTACGACAGGAAATAGATATTAGATAGTAGCGATGTGTGATTGTAAGGGTGATAATTCTGCTAGGAAGCTTTGATGCATCTGTTTGTGCAAATAAGAGATAAATGAGATCGATTTGAGTAGTATTGTGTGTTTACGTTTGCGATGCATCAAGAATGATCAGTACTTGGACACAATCTTTGCTGCCTCTGCTGTGGCTATTCATATTTTCTTTTTTGAGGTTCGTTTTTATCAAACTGCCTCTTGCAATGCCGACTCTTATGGATTTTAGTGGTGGGTTGGTCGGTGCTGCTCGCAGGTTGTATGAAGTACAAACTTACTGATAATTGCAATTGCATTTACCCTTTCAGGGTGAAAATGTATATTTTTACGATCTTTTTTCTTTGTTGAGAGAGAGTATTTCTATGATCTGTAGATGCTGATAATTATCTTGCATGGCTCTAGCTATTGAATTAGTTTGCTTTGATTCTCCTGTCAGAAAAAATACATCTAATGTCTTGACATTGTAGATTCATAAAATTGCCTTTTACACAATGCTCATGCCGTCCTACTTGCTTACTTTGCTGGTCTTTATTTTCTCTCTCAAAGATTTATATGATTGTAATATAGGGTTTGTAATTCCTGGCAAAAAGATTCTTACAAATGCTCATGTGGTTGCGGATCATTCATTTGTACTTGTAAGAAAACATGGCTCTTCCACAAAGTATAGAGCAGAAGTCAAATTTGTTGGTCATGAATGTGACTTAGCTATGTTGATTATTGAAAGTGAGGAGTTTTGGGCTGGCATGAATCCCTTGGAGCTTGGAGATATCCCTTTTTTACAGGAAGCAGTTGCTGTAGTGGGTTATCCTCAAGGTAATTCTTCGCCAGACATAATTTAATGTTCTTTCTGTTTTGTATTTGCTTAAAATGCTTATTTTCTACTAATAGCTATTACTGCTTCCATTACTTTTGGTTTATATATTGACGGGTAAACCTTGCTGCTTGGTGCATGGAAAATTTAACTTGCAAGCCTTTTTTTGGACTGATAATTTTCCAATTTGAACACTTATCAATAAGATTGCAAGTCAAATTTGAAACTTTTAATTTATGCATTATTTTGTTGTGTCTTGGTTTTTCATAAATAGATATCTAACTACTTTACACCAAATGACATCAGAATGTAAAGATCATTCTGAGTCATCAACCAATGCTGAAGGGCTTGATAACCTGGCTTCGCTTTTAGTTTCAAGTCTATGCTTTCTGAGATACCAAGTAGTTCATTTTTCACCGTCGTGTGACCATTCCCTTGCACAGCAAACAAATAATTTTCTGTTACTAAAAGCTATTAGTTGTCCTTCTTTGTACTTCCTCTACTATCTGCCGTAATATTCTTCTTTTGACCCTAAAGATCTCTTAGAATAATGGACTAATGTGAATCTATTATCTGAATGTTTAAAATAGAGTTGATTTTTTAATCAAATTGTTAACATTTATCAAAATGGTTTTGGTTTGCAGGTGGTGACAACATTTCGGTCACTAAAGGGGTTGTTTCCAGAGTTGAGCCCACACAATATGCACATGGAGCATCACAGCTGTTGGCAATACAGATTGATGCAGCTATAAATCCTGGCAATAGTGGTGGCCCTGCAATTATGGGCAACAAGGTTGTTGGAGTGGCTTTCCAAAATCTGTCGGGTGCTGAGAATATAGGGTAAGTTGTGTTTTTCTTCCTTCATGGTGAGTTTAGAATGATCAATCCCCTTTATGCTGTATAAATTGTCCATTATATACTAGTTTTTAACCGCAAAATAAGATTCTAAAGTCTTAAACACTTGTAAATTGCAATTTTCATTCTCTACCTATTGGCATTAGATCACAATTGTCTAATTAGAAAAATTTCTGAAGGATGTGAATTCAATTTTAAACTTCTTAGAATTTACATCCCTCATTAAACTGCTATTAAAATTAAACTATATATGCTTATAATGAGTGATACTTAAAAAACAGCATAAAGTGAGAGAAGTGTTGAAAAGCGTAATAAAAAGCATATTTTAATATCCATACTTCAATACCTAAAGAAGCCGATGAGCTATAGAGAAAAGGCACACCTGATATCAGGCGTGTTGCATGTCCAACATTGGCAGGAGTGGTGCCTCAACACTGAAACTTACACATCTTCATGAATACAAGCACAATCTTCACAAGCCTTAAATTCTTTGGTGCCAACTAAGTGATGCTTAAATCAAAATATGCCTTTGCTGAAAGTTTTGGTGAGATAGTTACGCTTGGCATCTCTAATATTTCCTTCAACTTCTAATTGGTGTTTTCCACCGAACATTGAACTTATTACCAGCTATATTTTTCGTTCTACTAATATCCTAGAGAATGAAGGAAGTGTAAACCTTTCAGAAAGAAACATTATACTTCTCAAATCTTACATAGCAAAAGAATAAAAATGTAGCAAATCTTAAGTGTATATATTTATGAAGCCATGGCCACATTCATGAAATATTACAATCTATCAGCAAGAGAAAAAACTAGCAGATGTTTCTTGAAATTACGTGATACATACGTTTCTTGAAGTTATTTACAAATTCAGTCTTGGGACATTAGAGTTTGCTGAATTTCAATGACGGACATCGTGGTAAGCTGGTAGTTGGCATCCCTTAGTATGCATGCTTCAGCTTACATGATAAAATGCCCAGCCATCAAGCGCACCAGACTGCTTTATCATGAATCATGCTATGTTCTATTTTTCCGATCAAGCACAAATATACTACATATCATACTAGATTATATTCTTTCATACTGTATCTTGCAGTTACATTATACCAGTACCAGTAATAAAGCATTTTATATCTGGTGTAGAAGAAAATGGAACTTATAGTGGATTTTGCTCCCTGGGCTTGTCATGCCAGCCTACTGAAAATGTTCAACTTAGAAACCATTTTCACATGCGACCTGACATGACTGGGGTGCTTGTGAGCAAAATTAATCCACTTTCAGATGCATACAAGATTTTGAAGAAGGATGATGTCATACTTGCATTTGATGGTGTGCCGATAGCAAATGATGGAACTGGTGCGTTGTTTCTTACTATTCCGGATTCTAATATCTACAATCTTCGCTGTACATGGATCTGTTGACATTGAAGCTTGAAGCTCTAATACCATGACCAAATGTGTTCTTATCTTATTGTATTGAAGGATAAGAATACATGGCTATTTATAGGGCGAGGTCATGCTACATGGGAAATAAAATAGATGGAAACAAATATAATTCCTTAAATAAAAATGAAGTTAACTACCAAAAATAATGTCCTAACAACTACATGTTTGAAGGACCCTGTACTCTTATTGCTATATCTGTTGAAATTTCATGATTATGAGCTCATTCATTTTTTGATGATCCTTTTCATGTAGGATTTTAGCATCATAATCAGCTTATTTCTTTCCCAGTTTCTATGTCTATCATGATATCTTTATCATGTATTTATTTCCTTGTTTACTCATTGATTTCTGAGATTGGTTGGTTGATTTAGAGTCAGCTGTCCCTTTTATATGTATTACTCCTTTTTCAGAGTAAGATGAATTAGAACAGACTTCTAGGTTCCAAATTTCTACAATATCTCACTGGAATTTAATCCTTTCGATAGAATGTTCAATAGTTTAGTACGTGCAAATTATACTAAACCCAAGACTAATCGATATGTTTCTATATATACACATATATAACTTAGAACAAGTTGTACTATTCATTAGCTGTGAATAATTTGGCCCAATTTCCTTGCTTTGTGGAATGCAGGGGATCCAATACGTAATTTCTAATATCAAACAAAACCATGGAGTGATGGACCCTTTTTTAATTATTTCATTTTTCGGTGAGGGTAGGGGCTGACAATGTTTCAATTCTGATATTTATTATTAAGTTAGACTAGATGTGGGTTCTGTACGTTGATAGAGTTTGAGAAATTGGCTAAACTACTGACGGTATATGAATAATATGGCTTATTAGAGATTTTACATTTTATTTTGATTGTTCTAGGACCTGAACAAGTCTGTGCTACATATGTGGGATGGTTTGCATTTTGCTTGTCATGGTCAACAAATATTTGCAATATGTCTACTGATAGGTTGTTTAAATGCTAGAATGGGCGTGTGGAAAATGCTTTTTTTATCCCGGTATTTCAACACAATATTTTTCATCCCCAATTCGTGTGTATTTTTCTTACATGTGATTTTTGAGACAAGTGCATTCAAATAATCTTTTCTTTCTTCATGTAATGTCATGACATCTGTACTTGAGAAAATTTTCTTCCTTCCCTTTAATTGTTACTTGGATTGCTTTATCTGGTCCTTGCGAACTAGTTTAATTATATACTCATAATATGGCATGTATGCTGCAGTTGCTTTCCGAAACAGAGAGCGAATTACATTTGATCATTTGGTCTCCATGAAGCAGCCTAATGAAAAGGCTGTAGTCAAAGTTCTGCGGAATGGTGAAGAGCATGAATTTAGCATCATTCTCCGTCCTGTAAGTTTCTGTATGCTGTGTATATGATTTTTACTATGTCAATAAATGTCCAGTGATTGTCCATGTCCCAGTGATTTGTGCCATCACATTTGTGTTCTGCTTTTCTATGTTACTAAGTTTCCCCTAAGAAATTCAAAATATCTTGAAGGTAAATTATATATTCCATGTTTAATTGAACAGCCCAGGCAACATTGGCATATATTTTTAAATTTCAATGCTTATGCTTTTTAATCTAACCTCTTCTAGGGGCACCTTTAAGGCATCTCAAAATATGATAAACTTTGTCCCTTTTTTTTTTTTAAATAAGGTGGCGGAATTTTCTAACCCAACTATTATTTATGTACTGTAATTCTTCCCCTTCCTCTCATTATGAGAGGAAAAACGAAATAGAAATAAAGCTTCCTCTTATTTCTGTGACCGGGATGTCTCCACAAGTTCAGTTAGAATCTGCATAACCCTCAAGGAAACTTCTTCACGCACATATTATGCTCTGCTTCTCTCTCATCTCTATCACAGTCTAGCAGGCTGGCAATAGCTGACATAGGGTAGTTTTCCTAGCCAATTCTCTATATTGCCCCTTCTCTTCCAACTCACTCATCACACTTATTTGGGCCTGTTCATCCTTTCTCCTAATGGCTTTAAGTTTGTTTTGATCTCTCCCTCTCTCACACACACTCACAAGAAGGCTCTAGACTCTGTTTCACTATCTCTGTCATTTTATATTATTCTAGTTGTTTGCCTTGCATATAATTTGGAGAATAGTTTTTGTGAAATAATAAATATTTGGGTCCTTATTTTTCAGCTGCAACCGTTGGTTCCAGTTCATCAGTTTGACAAGCTCCCAAGTTATTACATTTTTGCTGGTCTGGTATTTGTTCCACTCACTCAACCATTCCTGCATGAATTTGGTGAAGATTGGTATAATACTTCACCACGTCGATTGTGTGAACGTGCATTGAGGGAATTGCCCAAGAAGGCCAATCAACAACTTGTTATTCTATCTCAAGTGAGCATCTTTTGATCTTTAGTGCAGTTTAACATAACCGATATCTGCCATGCCTATCTCAGTTTTGTCTTGCTTTTGTGGCGTTGCACACTTTTGTCTGTGAAAATGATTCCATTTCAGCGTCAATTACCAGTAGCGTCCCGTTCTCGTGTGTTGCTTTTAGTGTATATTAGCGGAGAATCCTGCCATTAGATTGAAAATTGCCTTCTTTTTTCTTTTTAAAAATTTTTTAACAGGTCCTGATGGATGATATCAATGCTGGGTATGAGCGTCTTGCAGAATTACAGGTGCAAATATATATTTTGTTTCGTTACTTTTATTATTTGATGAATATTTGTGATGATCATACCTTAATTTCATTTCACTGGTAATCAAATAATGTGTGCTCTAATCAACCCATTCCTGCCTTTGGATTGTGATGGAGACTTGGTAGTATGAGATTACCAAGTCTCACATTAAGTAGTATGGGATATTCAATGAAATATATAGTTGGGTTGGTTCTCCCATCTCAACTGCTAGCTTTTGGAGTAGGGTTTCCCATCCCACTTTGATACCCATCAATTGGTATCTTAGCATCGTTGTTGATGGTTCCGGAGAGGGCTACTCACGGAGGGTTTTGACCGGTCGGGGAGTGTAGCTGTTGGGACATCAGCTTTCTGTGGGGGGTCAATTGATGGAGACTAAGTAATAAAAGATACCAAGTTCCACATTGGGTAGTATGGGACTCTTAATGGGGTACATAAGAGGGTTGGTTTTTCCACCTTAACAACTAGCTTTTGGGGCAGGGTTTCCCATCTCACTTTGGTACCCCATCAGATTGGAGTAGGTTCCCTGTCTCAGATTGTCAATGGAGTAAACTCCTAAAATTATTGGCCTCAAGTGCCATCCTTGAATGAGAGAAGTTTTAGTTGGCTGTACAGATTTGATAGAATTAGTATACTTTGGACATTATTATATTTTGCTACCGGAATTAAATCGTTGTTACGGAGCTCCTCGATCTTTTTTTTTTTTTTTAAATTCTGCTTTACAGGTTCTCAAGGTTAATGGAACCGAAATTGAAAATTTAAAACATCTGTGCCAGCTTGTGGAAAACTGTAGAGAAGAAAGTGTGCGATTTGATTTGGATGATGATAGGGTCATTGCCTTGAACTATGGATTGGCAAAAATTGCTACTGCTAGGATTTTGAAGCGTCACAGAATACCTTCGTCAATGTCTACTGATCTTGTTGATGAACAGAGTAATTTATCTCTGAATTAGGTTTCTCTTCTGGAGACTTTCTGCTGTTAACTTGCCTTTTTGGAGGGTTGAAGAATCCATGAGGTCGTTGCACAAATAAACAAGAATTTACCAACCAAAACAAGAGGCAGAGACAGTCACTACTCACAAATTGCTTCAGTGGGTGTCCATCTTTGACACTGTTTCACCCATAACAATAGAGTGCAAGCAGGCATTACTTGTGTTTTTGGGTTAGTGTTTGTTGTACTAAAATTTTAATGCTTTCCATTAAAAATAGTAATATTCTTTTAACGTTGCGGAGGTGACGTACTTTTGTATGATATTTGAGGCTACCCACCTCCCCTTTTCGGTAATGGCATGTCAAGTGGGACCTCGTTTACTGTCAGGAATGATGGGGCTGGCAAGTGGGATGCTCATGTGAATTTGGTTAAATCGTTGCAAATGAATTACGTATACATCCGTAGAGCAGATTTATTTATAGATAAGCGCGGTGAAATTTACAAACTATAGTCAGATTTTTTGAAACCTGAGTTTAATTTAAAATTGACGTTAAAAGATAATTATATTCTTATTAAAAATATATTATATTAATTAAATAATTTATAATTATTTCATTAGTAATTTATAATTAAAATTTTATATATTTAATAGTTAAATTGATCATGCATTATTAAAAAGTTGGGTTAAGGTGCAAAAATACCTGTCAAATAGTTGGCTAAAAACATCTAGTAGCTTAAAGTGAAAAAAAAAGATAAAAATACTTATAATGTTATTAGAGTTTATACAAAAATAATCGAATCATTTATTTTACTCTAATACTGTTAGTTTTCATTATTAAATGTTGACTGTATTTGTCATATATTAATCTTTGCTGATGTGTATTAAAAAGAGACAAATACCTACGAAATCGTCAGCTAGAAGCATCTTGTAGCTTAAGGTGAGAAAAAGGTAAAAATATTTATAACGTTATCAAAGTTGGTATAAAAGTGATTATTTTATCAAATTTTTTAAATATTGATCTTTTAGTTGATAATTAAGCAGAAATTGATTTTTTTCGTTGACGTGAACAAAAATATTCCTACGTGAAATTATATGGAGATTGATCAATCATTGTATGAGTATCATGTGCAAAACTGTCCTTTGGGTAAACATCAAATTAAATCATTCGTTTTTTTGCAGCAATAGTGAAAACCATTTAAAAATTTCAAACCTATTATGAATGAAATTTTTTAAGGTTGTTACAATATTTTTAAGGTAGGCAGCATAGGAGGTGTGCTTAGTCTTGATCTTTGATTGTTTACAACTTATTTCACTATGTTGAATATCAAGTTTTGCAAATAAAAAAAAAGAGTGCAGATGGATGGAGAAAGCGAGTGGGATAGGTTAGTGGAAAAAAGTAAGATACGTCATCGATCAACCTCTATAGAAATTAACCTAGGGATATTTTTTTTTACGTCAGCAAAAAAAAATTAACTTTTGCTTTGATGCTAGCTAAATGGTCAATATTTAAGGAATTTGATGAATTGATCACTTTTGCACCAACTTCAATAATGTTATGGGTATTTTTACCCTTCTCCTTGTTTTAGACCAGTTGATGCTCTTGATTGATAACTTCATGGGTATTTTTTTGCCCTTTTTTTAGTTTACATCAATAAAGACTGACATGTAGTAAGCACAATTAACATTTAACATTGAAAACTAATGGCTTTAGAAAAAGTTAATGTTTTGATCACTTTTGCACCAACACTAATAATATTATAAGTATTTTTTTTTTTTTCTCATTTTAGACTATTGGTGGGTATTTTTGCATCTTAACCCTAAAAAATTTTACACTAATTATTTAAAATTATTTTGTCACTCATTTACAATTATCACTTTAACTTTTTATAACTGTAACTTTACATATTTAATAATTAAAAAATTTGAACATTTGATACAAAAAGTTAAACTTATAGTAGTAAAAAATTAAAGTAATAGTTGTAAATTATTAATAAAGTAATTATAAATTATTTAATTGATGTAATGTATTTTTAATTGAGATATTTTTGTCTCTACATCCTAATTTTAAATTATATTTAAGTTTTAAGAAATCAGCTGAAATTTTTAAATTTTATAAGATTTATTTGCAAATAACTTTGCTACACATGACCTCTATATAACTTTCGCATTTCAAAATTGCATTTGCGAGTCTCTTTTATGATGATAGCAACGCAGCACTCAACTGAATTTAACTCACTTGAATTTTGGTTATTTTGAATAATTTAATTTTTTATATTTATTATCTGATATTTTAGCACCTTTTCTTTTAAAAATATGAAATAAAAATAATTTCTTCTACAAACTTTAAAAAAGTAGTATCTAAAGATTGACGTTAAAAAAATATAAAAATTTAATTATTCGAATTAAATATTTTTGCTGTCTGAATGTTCAAAATTAAATTTGGAGAACCGATAGAGCATAAAAGAGCATTTTGCCAGCCTGGACAAGTAGAATGCCCCATTCCAATTTTTTTGAACCAGCATCTGCTCTCCGAAATAATCAAATCAGAACGCTTAGATGAAAATAAAATACTCAGGCAATATTGCAGCACTTTACATTAGATTAGATTATGACGGTTCAATTTACAGATAACACTTGTCCTAATCAACATTTTGAAAATACCTATTGAAACATTCCTCGTGCTCGCAATATTCATGCACAATTTTATACACTTTAATTAAAAGTTTAGGAAATCGACTAGCAAAGTACTCGTTGAATCCTTCTGGAACTGGTCCTAGAAGTTCCTGAAAAGGCAAAACATAAGAATATATCAGTTTCAACTTTTGTAATTAACTCCAACCTCAACTAAAGCATGAATTTGTGACGTGAAAGCTACTATAAACAAGAACCTGAATTTCCTGAGGCAATTCTCTATAATGGTTCAGCTTGTTTCTCATAACTCGCAACAAGTCACGAACACTGCCAAACTTGTATCGCCTGTATCGGCCAATGTCAGCAATGAAGGCAGGTTCTATCTTTTTATCCCAATTTGCACCATCAAAAGCCTCTGGCGCAATACTTTCTAATGCCATTAAAAGACTAGAACCAGTCAACCTATCTTCTAGTTCTACCCTATCACTAGCGTCACGAAGAAATGATAGTCTCATCTCAGAACTCCAGAAAAAAGGATGGCGCAGCACTTCAATAGCCTTTGGCCTGAAAATTATACAAATATTTTTTAATGAAATCTTTAACCTTTAACCAGGAATAGAAACGACAAATATATATATATATATATATATATAATTCCAATTCACTTGACATGTCTAACTGAGTAACACTTACTACCATTTATCCATAGCTAAAATGCCAGAGACTGAAAATGGCTAGCTAACACATACTCCTTTTCAAATAAATAACTTTTCTTAAAATAATTGATCATTTCATTCTACATAATAATTAAGAAACTCATATATAAGGAGCCTGGAAAGGATATTTCTACTTGAAAAGAAATTCTCTCGAAAGAAATTTACGTACCTTGACTCAGGAGTTGGGTTTAATAAGGAAGAAACAAGATCTTTAGCCTCAGGAATGAACTCCACCGGAGAAAGGTCCTTTCGATCTTTCACAATATTGAAATCACGTTCAAGAAGACGCTTTCCAAATGGATGTCTACCCTTAGTAATGCAAAAAAAGAGAAGACAACCTAAACTAAATAAATCTACTGCTCGGGTTTGACGTCCTCGATCAATCTGTTCTGGTGCTTGCCAACCTGAACTGCCACAACCTGCAATTTGATATATTTTTTTTTTAAATAAGAAATTAGTAACGACCTTTAGATTATTAGCCATTAAAGCCTTGGTTAGCAGAAAATGGCCAACGAGCAAAACTTATAAGATTTTGCCAATGATCCTTATATCAGTGCAGGCTAGCCATTACCGACAATAAAAACAGCGAATGCTAAAGCAAAAATAGTCTTTTCTGAAGTACTTACCAGTACCATTATGACTAAAGGAAGATTTATCTCCAAGAAGGCGTTTGCTGATACCCATATCAGAAACTTTTGCACCCAAATGTCTTTCCTTAGTTATCAAAATATTCTGAGGTTTCAAATCACGATGGATAATTCCCAATTCGTGTAAATGAACAAGTCCAGAAACTATATCCCTATTCACCAAAATGAAAAAGGTGGAACTCAAAAAGCCAATCTTAATAAAAAGGCATACAATAAACTAAACTTGAAAAGTAGACATCATTTTATAACTTGTCATATAAAAAACAAATCGTCACCTACAATCTTATTCAACTACAAAATCCCTCAATGAAAGCAAAATAGGACCCTTTTGTGCATTGCTAGCCATTTTGTCTTACCCACAGTCATATCCACCAATCATTTTACCGTAGCATTTTATTACCTCAATTTATGTCATCCTTGATGACCCCACTCATCCATTTGAATTTCACTATCACATTGTAAAAAGCCTGAATTATTTAAGCCAAACCCTCACACCTCTTTCTTGAAACTTCCCTACATCTATCTTAAATCTAATACCATCATTTATCATCATTCCTTCCCTTAAGTAAGAAATAGGAAAAATGCTCCCGCAAATCAATCTTTACATGATTGAATATTATAAACCAAACTATCAATATATATAAAGTAAAATATGATAATAAATATTTTGAATAGCCAGAGAAAAAAAACTTTATAAAAACCTCATCAACTTCAATAATAAAGAGGACGGATATCCATTTGCTTTCCAAAGCTCTTGTATGTTATTGTTTCCCATCTCTATTTGGACCTTCAAACATTCAGAAGATTGGTTTTTACTAGACATTGGTTTTGAAGAGGAATCTGAGTAAACCTGAATCAAATCACCTAAATTGCATACACAACGTTCCAGAGCAAGATATATAAAATCTTGATCACGTTCAACCCCATGCCATCGGACAATGTTAGGATGATGGTCAGATGCAATAAGATTTTGAATTTCTTTATCAGCAATATCATAATGGGCCAGGACCAAACGTTTGATAGCAACTGCCCGACCTTCATACATTCCCTCAAGGACTATAGTACCATTACTTCCCATGGCAATTTCTTTATTTGATACGAAGAGTTTACCAATTTGACGTCCTTCGGCTCCTTCAACTTTTTCAACATGTGGCAATGCTTCCCTTGCAATTTTGCCACTTGCCATTACGCCCTCATCTTCTGACGATAGATTCTTATTTCCTTTGTCACCATTGCCACTTTTTTTCCCTGACTTACGGGCTCTTTTTTTCTTAAGAGGAGAACCTTTTATTTCAGATCCACCATTTCGGACCACCAATATAACTAGCCTTTTGACCACTGGAAGATGATACATCAAAAGACCCAGAAGTAAGAGCAAAAACAATAATAAAGATGATCTAGGCCATTCTATCACCTTGTTTCCATCAACTTCCCCTCGTGCACTAATCTCTGTGGGAGGTTGAGAGAGAATGGCTGCATTATCATGATTGTCGTGGGGGTTCAAATTTTGAGGCAAAGAAGGCAACACGTTTGGATAAGTAGGAAGTGCCATATTATCGACATGTTGATTTAATGATGTATCTAGATTAGATTGTGGAAGAAGCCTCAGATCAGAAGTAGGCACTGGAAGCATTTTCTTATCATGATAGTCCCCGGGCAAACTTTCAGTGAGATCACCAAAAAGAAGATTCTTTCGCAAGCGATGGACTTCTTCTAACTCGTGACATGCATATGGCATAGCAAAATCCAAGTCATTGTTGGAGACATATTTATCCTCTGAATCTAATGAAACCCCAGCATACAGATTTTCATTATGTCCACAGAATAATGAAGCCTTAAATTCAGCTACATTCATAGTCCACAAAACTTTTCCAGATCTAGGACCTACACCTTGTAGAGAATAATCTGTTCTAATTATTTTAAGCAGAAGCTCTGGTGTGCTTGGCATTGCAGGATCACCCAAATCTTTATCCTTTGTCCTGACAATATTTGTTACACTATGCATGTCATTACTAGACAGAGCAGAAAGATTATCAGCAGCATAGCTTCGAATGAGCTTTCCACTTATAGCATCAACTTCAAACAAAGTAATTCTTTTGGATCCAAGAATAACACCTCCATCATCTGAAAAGGTAGGTGTAGCCGCAACAAAATCTGCAACAGATATTGGGAGTCTCTACAGACACGACAAACCAATTAGAGGCAGCATGATGGAAGTTGGAGCCCAAATAAAGCTCAAACACATTAGTGCGGAAAATTCATGCTTTATATAGAAATATATATAACATCAGCTGCCTACAGTAGAAAGAAACAAAGCTAGTAAGCTACAGGTCATCAACTTACACATAAAAAACATTAAAATAGAACAGAAATAGAACAAAACGCCCATCCAATATATAAACTAAGAAAATCAAAAGCTGTAGTCTCAAATAAAACTCAATCCGAAGTCCCACCTTCCTCCTTACTACCAGGGCTCTTCATAAGTTTACAAGTTATCTTCATATATTTATTTTTTAATTGTCTGCATTCCATTTAAGTTTATTCGTTCGCCATGGCAAGTGTATACTCACAAATATTAAAGACTTGTATTCCAGCCAAAGCTTTGCTGCCAATTTAAGATTTTTCAAAGGCCAAAATAAATAAATAAATATATATATATATATAGGCAGCAAACAAGATCAATAGTTTTAAAACACAACACGCAGAAGGCAAAAGCAATACAATTCATCCTTCTATCCTTTTACAACTATAATATAAAGCCTGATGTAATAGCAAAATCACATGATGCAATGAAAATTTTGTGGCAACCAGGGGAAAAGGTTAAAAGGAGTAAAAGTGGGCAGAGAGAGCAATATTGCCATGATTTAGTAAGAATCCATTCAAATAATCAGACACAGCAATATTAAACTAACTAGTTAATGATTTATACATAATTATTAAATCCAGGATATTTGTCAAAAACCAAAGCTAAAATGCATTTCCTATGAAAAGAGAAATTAGGAACCATATATTGATATCTACACCCGTACCATTTTACGGGAGTGCTTGCTTTCCATATATAGTGCCCAATCATCTCCACATTCAATGAACCCGCTATCTAATCCACACACATTTTCTTTAACATTATCCTTGATGAGAGGAGCTTGATACGAGTGGTAGATTGGTGATCCAGTAGAAAATGACCATATTACCCTCATAGAACCAATCTCCACCAAGTATATTGTCCCATCTAGGGAAGCAACAAGGGTCGTACTGGGCTTACTGTCCAATGACAATATAAAAAGTAAGAACCAAGTAGAATAATATCGTTAGATTGCTTTTTACCTGTAGATAAAACTAATATAACAGCATTATGATGTTCAAACATAACGTAATTTTGGAAATTTAAATATCACAACTCTTTTTCAGTTGAATTCCAAACATTTTAACTTTGAAAGGTAAATGAATAGACATCCCTCTTTCCATCAACCTTCCAATAAAAGAATAGGAAGTTGACAACTCCTAGTCTTTTGAATCCATCCTACCCCATCCTCTTCAACATTTCCAAATAAGCCCTGAACTGGAACATGTGAGAAGGAAAAAGAAACTGCATGGTGACTTTTTAGGTATTCCAAGATCCAACTCATGCGTGATACTATGAAAGATTAATTCATCCCTCCCCTAAAGCAGGGGAAAAAAAATCTTGTGGTTGGTCTGATTCTGATCTTGCTTCTTTTATTTGCCAATTAGCTTGTTTCACTTATCAAGGAAAAACTTTGAAAAAAAAAAAAATAGTGTTGAGTATAACTCTATCAACTCAACAACTTTATAATCAAAACAAAGACCACGCAAGAAGTACAAGGTTGCTTAACAGCCAATTATGAGATTCCAAAATTATCATCATAACTAAAAATTCGGAAAAAGGACAACTAAAAGCAAGTCAAATCAGATAAATGTGAAGGAAATGCTCAAGAACTCACGTTGAAAAAGACAAAATAGATCGGCTTGGACGGCTTAATGGTGGGAATAAAACATCAAAGCCTTGCTCACTACGATCCACAGGCGAGACTTGGGAGCTCTCTAATGTCAAAACATGGCAAGTTAAGTTCCATAACAGCGGAATTAGCCAAAGCATAAAGCGTGTGATTCTAAAGAGTCGAAATTTCATCTGGCGGCTTCAACGACAAACTCCCAAACAAAAGAATAGATGAAGCAATAATTCCGAAAAAGAGGAGCTGATCGTGTCTCGTGTTAACTAAATGATAAAGACATAAGTGGTATGAAGGAGGAAACGGAAATCACAGGAAACAACAACCGGCAGCATGGAAGATTCGAAGCTTCTTCATATCTTGCGAAATTAGTATATGTCCGTCTCGCGGATCGCCCGAATAAACCATCGTTGGATTATTACCTAAGAAAAGTCAAAGAAATAACTGAGGTCATATCCTGGACTTGCTGGATTCCTCCCTGTCGCCTGCAAAATCCTTGATTCACTGTTCAGTTTTTTTAAAACACTTATATTAATTGATTAAAATATATTCTCTCAAACTTAATTTTTATCAATTTAATTTATTTTTTATTTTAAAATTTTTGAGTTTATTTTCCAGTATTCTATTGATAATTGAGAGCATCTCTATATCATTGATTAAGTGAGATCAATTTTTTTATTAATTGACCCAAGTGCTTAGTGGTAGCTGTCATTAACATTTCATTATTTATGTCAGTAAATTTTAATAATGTTATCTCATATTTAAATAATAAAAATTAATTTAATAACATATAAATTTTAACAACTGAAATAATAAAAATTAAATTAAAACAACTACACATTTTAATTTCCCCTAAAAAAGTGTAACCTAACACCTAAAACTTAAAAAGTATATTTTAAGATATGGCCTGATACTCTTTTATTTTAAATTATAAGATAATTTAAAATAAAATTAAGCATATTAATAAAATGCATTAATGACACTTTATCAATTTATTTTTTCATAAAAAATGTAAACTTTAAAAAATATTCGTACATAATTAATTATTATGTTACAGTATCATTTTAATTTTTTCTTTACTTATAAGTTAGTATTGGAAATGTATTTTAATGAAACTTTAATTTTCTTAAATTATTTTATATTTTAAAATAAAAAATTTCAGTTTTATAATTTGGGAAGGGGGAGTATGTTCAATAGTATGATATTAAATAGCTGTTTAATATGACGCATTTTTTACCAAACTGTTTAATACATGATGTTAAAATTTATGTTTTGATCATTATTCAAAATTGTAAAAGGGAGATCGTTAATCATTATCGTTGTCGTTGTTTCCACACCAAGACACGCTTTTTCAATTTTAACTTCATCAAAATACTTGAATATTCAAATACATTTCAAATTTAGTCTATCTTAAAATGATGAAGTTATTAAAAACTAAATTTAAAAAATGAGATGTAATTTAATCATAATATCCAAGCATAATCTACCATTATTTTATTTTAAAAATATTTTTAATTCATTAAAAATATAATAATAATTTAAATAATAATAATTAAATATTAAGTTTTTAATATTATATATTAAATAATTAATCATATTAACTTTTAACATTAATATATATTCAACTATTTATAAAATTTTTATCCAATAAATTAAATTTTATGTTTTATACTTTTATTATTTAACATATCAAATTTTATGTTATATAAAATTTTTATCATCCAACAAAGATTTATTTAGTTGGCTAATTTTTTTTGAATAAAAATGTATCATATATATATATATATATATATTTAATCATCTTGATTTTTGATATTAATATATGTTGAATTATTTATTATATCATTTTTTCAACACATCAAACTTTATAATTTTTATCCTTATTATTTAAAATATTAAATTTTATTTTATTTTAAATTTTTTTCACATTTTTTAAAATTTCTAATCTATTATATTTATATAATAAAAATTATAAATTATCATAAATTATTATAAATCTATGTTTTTTTATTATTTTATATTTAAAAGTATATTTTAAAAGTATAAATTATCATTAATTTAAATACTTTTTAATTTATTAAATTAATTTTTAAAAATATATTTAAAATTTAAATATAAATTTCATTATATCAAGATATTTTTTATTAAATGAATTTTGACAAACTAAAACTCAAACGCAGACTTAATCACAATACTGCTGTTTTACCCCTTCATTTCCATCGATTTGTTAAAACCATTGATGGGGTATCCTAGTATGAATATATAATCAACCAAGGTTTTCAAGGGTATCCTAATTTTTTTTTTTAAAAGTTTAATCCTAAATTAAAATGCGAGAGCCTTTACTACGGTCAGTATTATACAATTATACAATTAAATCAAAGGCGCGTGATGCAACTTTCGTAACTAAGCGCAGAAGGCATAACAGGACACCTCTATTTGGGAATTGGGACGCAGTGGAGACTGGAGATACAGGCTGGGTCCGTTTGGATTTCAGTTGGGTATAATAATTATGAAAATAATTGATTAAGTAGTAGATTTTAATCATAATTGATTATGTTATAATGTAATTTGTTTGGATACTCATGTTAATAATTTTTTTAAAGATTTAAATTTTATTAAGAAAAAAAAAGAAGAGAAAAAATTTTGTTTTAGTTTTATTAAATTTTATGCTTTTTTTGTGATTTTTTTTTTAAATTTTTTATGTAATTTGCTTATATAACTTTGTAAAAAAAAATGCAAAAGCGAGAAGCTGAGATTTGGAGCGTTGGAAAAAAATCGATTTTTTTTAAAAAATCAATTAAAAAAAAAGTGAATGTTTGGGTAAATTATGGCTTAATCGATTTTTTTTCCCTAAAATCGATTAAATCCTCAATCCAAACAGACAGGCTATCGATTCGAAGTAGCGGCGGACACTCGTCAGAATCACTTGTCACCATCGTTGAATTGTTCAAAGCTTAATCCTGTGTTTTCGCTGCCTTCTCAGTTCTAATTTGGATTACTGTCATTTGTTTCAATCAAATTGAAGATGCTCCATAACAAGTCTTTCGTCAAGAAAACTAAGGCTGGAAAAGTGTTGAAGGTGTGCTTCTTCTCATGAAACCTAACCCTAGCTTCTTGTTCTGTATTTCTAACCATTTGTTTTGTGACTGGTGAGTAGCAAGTCAGGGAGCACTATCTGAGAGACGACATATATTGCGGAGCTCCATTTTGCAAAACATGTGATACTTCAGCTGCTCGCTTGAGTGGTTCTGCTTCTACAGTTCTCGTTCTGGACACCAATGTCGTTCTCAACCAGGTCACACTCATACTCACTTGGTTGTGATTCTTCTTTGTTTCATGTTGGAACGCAGTTTTCTTGAGAACTTTGTCATTTGTTGAGTTTGAAAATTGCCTCGTGAACAGATTGATTTGCTGGAGAATCCCGCCATTGATGATGTTGTTATACTGTCCATTGTGCTGGAAGAGGTTAAGAACAAAAACATGTCTGTTTACAATCGAATAAGATCCATCTGTGGCAATTCGGCAAGGAAATTCTTTGTTTTCTCCAATGAATACCATAGGTAAGCTGGTTTTTTACCATCGGATACTGTGATAACTACTTTTTCTTCTCGTTGATCATTGCATTTTGAACCTTTTTTTCAAAGAGTTTTATGTTCCTCTGTTTTAGGGATACATATATCAAGGAGATGAGTGGTGAAACAAAAAATGACAGGAATGATAGAGGTTTGTGTTTTTATATGACTTATGACTTATGAATCATTCTTTGTATTGCGCTTTCTGCTGCTTCTGGAGATTTTTCAACTAGTAACGTGTTAATTGTAAAATGTGGTCATACAGCTATCCGAGTGGCTACTCAATGGTACCAGAGTCATCTTGGTGATGCAGTGAAGGTTTTGCTTATAACTAATGACAGAGAGAACAAAAGGAAGGCTACTGAAGAGGGAGTTCTTGCGGAGACAGGTAAATGAAATTTCTTTCTTTCTTTTATTTTTCCTGTTGGTCTGCTGTATCTTAAATAGCTTGGGAATCAAAGACAAGCCAAATCTGTAAGAATACCTAGAACAAAGCAGTTTTGTGAATAGTTACCACATCCGTAAGAAATTTGAATATTAATTTTAAGATTCTTTTGTTGAAGTATCAATCTTTGTATGTGCTGCTTTCAGTTGAGTCCTTTGTAAAATCCCTGGGCCGGTCAGATTTACTTGACTTGCTTGTGCGACCTTCATCTGAAGATGTTGAAATGGAAGAGGTGGAGGATGTACGACCATCCAAAAGGAAAGTCATCTACATAGAGGTATGCGGCTGATTCCATGTCTTTTAAGTGATTTGAGCCAACAAATTTGGTTGTTATGATCTGATTTTTTTTAAGGTTATTTTTTGTCTATTCTATTTTAGCATAAGCCAATGTCAGAAATTACTTCTGGTTTGCATCGTGGAATATATCATCAAGGAAAACTTCGTGTAAATCGTTATAATCCATTTGAAGCATATGTTGGGAGTGAGAGCATTGGCGATGAAATAATAATTTTTGGACGTACAAACATGAACCGGGCTTTTGATGGTGATATAGTTGCTGTTGAACTTCTACCTCAAGACCAGTGGCATGAGGAGAAATCTCTGTCCATAGCTTGTGATGGTATGTTAATTAAAGTGCATGCTGCATTCCCTTATATGGAATCACTTCAATTGTCAAATTAATTCCTCTCAAAATTAGCTTATTTTCAGTTAGAAAGTAGATTAGTCTGGAACCTTCAGCTCTCATTCATAAAATTTTGTCATGGATTGTACTATTTGGCTTTAGAAACAACTTTTTTATGTAAGTGAACTTCTGCAGAAAACTTGATCAATTTGTATTGAATTGTGTATCTAAACTATATTATCTGTCACGCTGAATGCTAAAAAATTGGGAGGAGGGATAGAATATAGAGGAGAAACAAGATCTATTTGTTTTTGAACTCTAGTAATGGATTGGACGGATAAAGATCTCTGTTTAATGGGCATTGGATAATTTGAAGAGAACAGTAGACCTTGTGCTTCATTTCAAAATACAATGTCTAAACTATTGAATTCTGAAGCTTGTATTATACTGGCTTTTTGTCACTGTGACTTAAATTGTATGGGTTAATTTCTAAACCTAGTATTTGAGCCAATGTCATCTTTTTGGTTTATGTGCAACTGAGACAGTTCAGGTTCATATAATTGGCTTATATTTTTTGGTCAAAAGAGGAACGCTATCATGATAAGAATTACAAAGGAGTGGGAAATTTGGTATTCTAGTTATAAAAAGCAACTAAAGTCAGCTAATATAATATGAAGACATTATTACTACAAGGGATCTCTTCAGTCATACAGAGACATTCACCTACAAATCAGTACTGTAGTCGCTCTAACACAAGCTGGATAAGTGTGAAAGTTTGCCACTTGATTTTCTTCTCTATGATCCACACCATGTTTTTTGCGTAAGCTTCAATTAATAATTAGCTCAATTGTTTTTGTGAATGCGCATTTCTGCAAACATGCTTTTCTATTTTTATATCTTCATTAACTAACTTATTTGTGTGCAGAGGATGAGGATGAGGATGAGGATGTTCATCTAGTTCCAAGCAGTGCTGATGATGCTCCTAGAACTCTTCCTCAGCAAGGTTCTACTGGAGGAATAAATCCTGTATCCAGCCGTCCTTCTGGCCGTGTTGTTGGCATTATAAAACGCAACTGGCATTCGTGAGTTGATTTACTTTGAGATTTTCTTAGTTACTTTGCAGACTGGAATTCAATTGATAGGAGTCAATATCATATCACTTTACCACCAGTAGTTAAGATATTTTCTGCTGTAGTCTTTTTTTTTTTGGCCAGATTTTCTTCTGTAGTCACTATTCAATATTCTGCCTGTTTCTCAGCTTACATCTAGAAGTATAAGAAAAAGGTAACAGATAGGAGATACGACATAACATGTGTGGTATGGTGAAAGCCCCCATACTTATTCAATCTTTAGGTAAGCCATATAAAGTGAGAAAGAAAAGGAAGTTTTGGCGCTACCACAAACAAAGTGTGCAGAGGTTTCACTTTAATCATGTTTTTTATTAATGTTAAATTTTGTTAATTTGTACATCTGGCTCTGCATATTCCGTTTTTCAAAGCTAGGTGTTACATTGCTTGACATAATTGCATTGTCTATTGCAGTTATTGTGGATCTTTGGAACCAATGCCTATGCCTGCAGGAAGTGGTGGTGTTGCCCATGCTTTATTTGTGTCCAAAGATCGCAGAATACCCAAAATTCGAATCCAAACCCGTCAACTTGACAACCTTTTAGACAAGAGGATTATTGTGGCGGTTGATTCTTGGGATCGTCAATCTCGATATCCATCAGGCCATTATGTGCGAACTATAGGAGAGATAGGTGACAGAGATACTGAGAGTGAGGTATGGAATATTGAATTTTCATTTTCACTTTTTTTCTATATCTTTATATAGAAGATTTCTTTCTGCTCCTTCATTTCATTGTCTTGTCCTTTTTGACATTGCAAGATTTTAGACCTCTGACTTGTGAAAACTTACTTATCCATTGGTCACTTGAGTAAATCCCAAGGTAGGTTAAGCTCTTTGCATTTCACTTTGCTGATTTACTCTCTGCTGATGACTTCATTAGCTGGCAGGGAAACAAACTTGCAGATCCCCTGCAACATGTGGTCATGTGCACATGCAAGCATATTATCTCATGCACACATGAGAGAGAGAGTGTGCGCGTGCGCGCATTTACATTTATGCTACTTTGTGCATCCCTTGCATTTTTCATATCAAATGCTTCTGATTGTTGTACATTCTAGGTAGTTTTGATTGAAAATGATATAAATTCAAGGCCGTTCTCTTCACAAGTTCTTGCATGCTTGCCACCTTTGCCTTGGTCAGTCTCTTCTGAAGATTTGTCAAATCCAATTAGGCTGGATTTGCGAAATCTGCATGTCTTCAGTGTGGATCCTCCAGGTGTGCTTTTCATGTTTCCTTTATTACTCTGCAAAGGGTAAAATATTAATGTATTATATATTGTTGAAAAGTATACTATTTAGTTATCATTTTTTCAATATCAAAATGATTAATGTTTACTGTAAGCCTTGAAATAATATTACTCAATATTACTGTAAGTCATATAACTACTCAAATTTTTATGCTGCTTATTGCATGCAGGATGCAAGGATATTGATGATGCACTCCACTGTTCTGCTCTTCCGAATGGGAACTTTGAAGTTGGAGTTCGTATCCTTTATCTGTGGGTATACATTAGAATAGAAACATTGAAATCGATTCATTACCCATGCCAAAGAAAATTCCTTATTTAGTTTTTTCAACATGGCTTTTGATGGAATGGAATAGGTGATATTGACTCTCATGTCACAAGGGTGAAATCAAAATTAAAATGAAAAAAAAAATGTAAATACGATGTATACAGTTCATGGTAAGACTTGATGTATGCAAATCAAAATTATCGGAATCCTACCATTAGTGTGATTTTATTTTTTTCATCATTTGTGTATTCTTTTATTTAAATTGGGCATAAATTGGGATCCCTGGCTGACGATTGCAATTTCAATTATAATCTGCTCTATCATTATTTGTTGGAAAACTTTCCCAAACATAGAAATTCTAGGTGCTTTGCAGAGCATATTTGGTATTGAACTATGGTGCCAATTCGCTGGCACAAATTTTAAAACATATGAATGTTATTCATAAACAGTTTTTCCAGAATAGAATAATATGTCCCCTATCCTTTGGTAGTAGAAAGATATGAATTTATGATATCTGTCATCTGAGTGGTTGCTTTATCCTTTTAAATAATGCTCCTGAGTTGTTGCTCTTTAATCCTGATATATGGTGGTTCAAAAGTTCTTTAATGGTTTTCTATCAGATATTGCTGATGTGACAAACTTTGTGCATCCTGGCACTCCACTTGATGATGAGGCTTCACAAAGGGGTACATCTGTCTACCTTGTTGAGCGACGGATAGACATGCTCCCCAAACCTCTAACAGAGGGTAATTCCATTTGATTTTTCCTTTGTAAGAAGGAATGCCAGAATGCTGGAAATGAAGTTGTATACTGTGACAATAGTTCTTTTTTTTTTTTTGGCTTGACACTCATAAAACCTTGATTTGCCAGACATTTGTTCTCTCCGAGCTGATGTGGAAAGACTAGCCTTCTCCGTCATATGGGTGTGTGAAATCTCATTCTTTGTCCATAATAAAACTATTGAATTTATCTTTTGTTTATATTCATTGTTTCAATAAAAGCTATAAATTTTTCTTTATTTGGCGGGGGTTATATTACTTTGTAGCTCCTTATTGTTGTACTCAATTCTTTAATGTGGTCCTTATAGTTTAGAAGTTTGTAATTGAGTCCCTAGAAATTAAAAAGTCTCAATTTATCCTCTATACTTAAAAATGGAATTATACCTGCTAAATTTTGTTGACATGACTGACAATGAGACATCTTGTCTTTCTGAACATACATGATTTATGCTAATTCACATAAACCACATAAGATAGGTGGCATCACTTGCCACACATTGGAGTTGACTTTACTTCAATATCCACTCTTACCCCATCTATTGGCATGAATAATGCATTTGCAAAGTTCTAAGATGGTACATGGCTGCCCATGTGTAGAATTTAATATCATACTAGAAGTATAATGATAGGGACCATGTTAGAAATGTTTAAAATTATGGGGACTTAATTATGAGCTTTTGAACTCTATGACCGAATTAAATATTGAGTGAATTTTGGGGACCAGAAAAGTAAAATAACCTTCGGTGGAAATCTTCCAATTTATCAGATCACCAATTTTCACGTAAAGCATGCCAAAAGATGTATTTTCACTAGAAATTTGCTTATGTTCAGGAAATGACCGCTGAAGCAGATATTATCTCTACAAAATTTACGAAAAGTGTCATAAGATCTTCTGCAGCATTGTCTTATGTTGAAGCACAGGCAAGAATGGATGATAGGTATGCTTCTGATCTTCAGATCTTTGTCACTTACAGTTATATACTGCTAAAGTTAGCCCTGAATAAGGTAGTTATCAGTTACCATTGTTTCTCTGTTGGGCCCATCTGTTGCATTATTTTCTTACTATCTCCAGTTACATGGCTATTGTTCCTCATGAGCATGGTGCTGTGATACCATGAAATTGTTCCAGAAGCCTAATCCCTTCTATTTATTCAGTTGGTGAATTCGAATATATTGAGAAGGTAGTCACAAGTCTTACATATACAAAGAAAACCATAAGAGGCACGTGTGAAAAGACTGAAACAGCTAACTTTAGGCCTTGTCAAGAGGGGTAGAAGAAGGCCAAAGAGAACACTTTTGAAAGTTATTAATCAAGACTTCTTAGTTAAAAATATTTCTAAAAGCTTGATAAATGATAGAGCACAATGGCGTCGTACAATCCATATAGCTAACTCCACCTAGTAGGATAAAGCTTCTTCTTGTTTGTTGTTTGTTGTTTGTAGTCACAAGTCCTCTTGCTCCAATAATCAAGGAGATAAATCAAGGCAAGATTTGATATAATAATATCTTAACTATAATGGCGTCGTACAATTCATGTAGTCAACTCACCTAATGGGATAAGGCTTGTTTTCATTGTTGTATAATATCTTAACTATAACAGCGAGTAATTGAAAGTATTTAGAAAACACAGAATAAAATCTTATCATTCAGATGGTGGGCTTCAGGCTTAATCCATTTTAATCTCCAATACAGAGCATACAACCATGCGTTGTGAGCGCTTCTGGAATCTGGATAGCTCATAAATGTGCCCAATAATGGTTCTTGTCTGGCCTTGTGCTGAGATAATGAATTAAATATTTCTTGTTGGTAAAAGAAATGTTCAGTGTTTTCATTGTGATGTTTTCTTTGGCTGACTCTTTAGTTTGGAGCTGAGCACAGAAAATTAAGATGCCTTCAGAGAGAGAAGTTAAGAGTATAGGTTGAACTGAGCTTGAATACTTGCATGTTCAATTTTCTCTCTGCTAGTAGACTGAAGCTTTTTTATGCATAATTTGCTTGTCTGCTTGCATTAAGCACTTAATCACTGTCCTTTGATTTTCTGTTTCCACAGGCGACTGGTGGATCCACTAACTACTGATTTGAGGAATATGAATGGTTTAGCTAAGGTATGGACTTGTGAATGCTTTGATACTGCTCTGATCTCATGGTATTTATGAGTTAGGTATAATTTTGTGGATTTGTCTGAATATTGTGGATTGGTTTATGGTCTAAAAGAAAATGAGGCTACGGCGTATTGAGAGAGGAGCACTAACTCTTGCTTCTGCTGAAGTGAAATTTCAAATTGATACCGAGACCCATGATCCTCTTGATATCGGTAAAATCTTCTTCCTCCTTTAAGTTATTATTTCTTTCTTTCTTTCTTTCTTTTTTTTTTGGGGGGGGGGGAGTTGAAGGTGTGCAAGGTGTGTGTTTGTATTGTTCAGATAGATATGTGATGGAAACCTGTAACTTTCTCGCAGAACCTTCACGAGGACTTGTCAAACAAAAAAAGGAATTCAGATACAGAATGGAAATAACTGAATTAGTGCTTCGGTTTTGTATTACTACCAAAATGATACACTGTATCAGTCCCAAAGCGAAAAAGGACTGATCTGAGCCAAAACCCAAATTCCCCGTCACACCCAGAACTCAAAAGAACCGAAACAAAAGATTGCATGGGAACTTAGTCCGCACTTTAGACTTTCAGGTCATACATTGGCATTTGAGAGGTCAGACTCTTAGAACATTTATTTTCCAAAATGAGATTAAAAACCAAGTGAATCCTTGTGTCAAAAACAAAAATGGAGGTAAAAAGGAGGAAAACTTGCTGAAATCCAAATGCGCAAGCTTACAAAATTACTGTTTTCTGAAAATGAGACAGAAAATCATTGTGACTGAAAGCTCTCTGTTCCATTCTAGGAACAAGCACTTTGACCCTGCTAAAACTGCAGTCTGTCAGAGGGCTTCGTGTCTCTTACTGGTCCCAAAAGCTGAACAGAAAAATCTAAGCCAGTTGGCCAAGTCCAGTGCTCATTACAATGTCTGCCTTACTTTCTAACACTGCTAACACTTAATGAAGTTATTGAATGGGACCTTTTGGTTAATAATATATGTAAGGATTTGGTTGTTGATAGACCATAAAGGCATCGTCGGCTAATCTGTCCAATGGGATAGAGCTTGTTGTTATCACCATCTTAGATATCTAGAGCCATTCCACTACTCCAGGATGGTGGCAATTAAACTGGGTGTTATTTGAACCATTTAGCAGATTAGAGGATATTATCATCAGCAATCTGTGTTATTATATGTCATTAATGCACTTTTTTTTTTCTTTTAAAAATGGAAAGAATTCTGTTTAGTTTTTTTTTATTTAATTTTCAGGTATGTACCAAATTCGGGAAGCAAACCAAATGGTGGAGGAGTTTATGCTTGCAGCTAACGTTTCTGTTGCAGAACAAATTCTTGAGAGTTTTCCTTCGTGCTCATTATTAAGGTTGGCTTCTGATGTGCCTCTTGGATTTCAATGTTTTATGTGATGCTTTTTTTGGGAACGAACCTTATTTCTACATTCTGCTAATGGGCTTATTGATTCCTATGGCATATGACTTACTTCCATTTTTCTTAGATGTTTCTGTTTTTCTTTCATGTTAAGAATCTAGCTGGTGGTCAACTATCATAAATTGAAGAGAAAATAAATTCAGTACGAAAGTTTTGTGTAGTCTTAGTTAACAGAATTTGTGAAATTTGAGACTTTTCAATTTCATTAATGAATCTGATTATCTTTTTCCTGAAAAAGCATAGCCTTAATGATAAAAGTTAATCTCAAATTTATCCAATACTTTCTATCGCTATGAAGAATTGAATATTAGCCAACATAAAAAGGATGGTCTCGTCAAATGGATCATATTATCAGGGGACGAGTAGTTCCTTAGTCTTTTAACAATATGCTCACCATAAACATTTAGGTTATTGAGAATTAATAAGTTTGTGACCCTTTTGGCTAGAAGCCTTGCCTATATATATATATATATATGTATGTATGTATGTATGTATATGCATGCTAGAAGCAGCATTAAAAAAAGTCTAGATGTGGCAAGATCGTTTTGTTACTGGATTCAATAGGTACCCAATCATTGTTGGTTTTTATGTAGGCGTCATCCAACTCCAACAAGAGAGATGCTTGAACCTTTGCTGTGTACTGCTTCTGCAGTTGGTCTCCACTTGGATGTCTCATCATCAAAAGCATTGGCTGACTCTCTTGACCATGCTGTGGTAAATCTTGTTCTTGCATTATTTTAGCTTTTAATCATCTTCTGATGGGATTACATACCTTGCCAAAATCCGCCTACATTTCTCCCCAAAACTTATAGCAAACGTCCAAAAGTAAATAACAGCTTTGAGAAGATTGTGACCACTGGTTCATACCCAAAAAGGAAAACGAGGAGGGAGACAAGGAGAGGGGTCTATTGTCACAAAATAATAATAATAATAATAATAATAATAATAATAATAATAATAAAGAAGAAGAAAAGAAAAGAAAGAAAACAGAAAGGATCAAAGGATTTGTGCTACTAAAGAAGTGAGGCAGTTGGGTTGACTTTTGCTGAGATCTTCACTCCTGGGGAAGGGGAATATCACTTTTTTGTGAAGTCATTACTATGGGGAGGACTGCCCTCTCAAAAGCCAGTGTTCTGTTATTGCTTTCTTTCTTTTGTTATGTTTAATTTCCTCAAGGGATTGTGTGTGGTGCTGGTTTTGACTGAGATCTGTCTCTAGCTCGTTTTGTGGGGTAGATACTGTGCAATTCTTTTGAGTAGTACATAACTCAAGTTCAATTTTCATTCTTACCTTTTCTGGTCTCTGATGTTGTTTGAGAGAATATCACAGGGTACTAACATTTTCTGTTGACTAAGTAGTTTTTGAGTAGTTATTACATATCATGTCTGTTGCCCAACGCTTCCTTCTTGGATTTCTTTTTTACATTCATGATGGTAGTATAAACTTTAACTGTCAAGGCATGTTACCCTGGTCTTCAGTCCTTCCTCCCACTGAGAGAAAAATACTTTATCCAGGGTGATGATCCATATTTCAACAAGTTAATCCGCATACTGGCAACGAGATGCATGACTCAGGTAAGTAATTTACTAGCATTTAACAACTGACTTCAGATATTTCAAGCGCAGAGATGAATTTTTTACCCCTTTCTTTACAGGCAGTTTATTTTTGTAGCGGGGATCTAAGCCCTCCGGAATATCATCATTATGGGCTTGCAGCACCTCTATATACTCATTTCACCTCACCTATTAGAAGATATGCAGGTAAGCCGCACGAATTTCATTATAGTTTCAAAATCCTAAAATATTACATATGCAATACTCTCAGAGGAGATGACACGTCCTTTTCTTGCAGATGTCATTGTTCACAGGCTGCTTGCTGCGTCCTTAGGAATATCTAAGCTACCTTCAATATTTCAAGACAGGCTCCAGCTCACTAGTATTTCAGATAGTATGGGATCTATTAATGTGCATTATAAAACATTTTTGTTTATACCTACATTTCAACATAAGTTGCCAACCATGTTTGCATTCTCCAAAGTTGAATTCTTTCTTGATTGGAACTTGATCATTTTACACTTCAATTCTCTCATATTGTCAATCGAAATTCTCTCTGGGATAAATATTTTTAGTAACGAAGATTAGTCTAATTTCATCTTTTCGTCTGTGTGTGGTTTAGATCTAAATTATCGGCACAGGAATGCACAAATGGCAGGCCGGGCCTCTGTAGAGCTACACACACTCATTTATTTCCGAAACAGGTATGTCATATCTCATCCTATTGCCCTATCACTGCTTTTTACTTGTTTGCAGCTTATTTTGGAGCTGGAATTTGTCTATGCAGGCCAACTGATACGGAGGCTAGAATAGTGAAAATAAGATCCAACGGGTTTATTGTTTTCGTTCCCAAGTAAAGTCTCTTAGCTCGCTTCTTTTGTTTTCCACTTGCTTTGCCATGCTACCCGGAAGAAAGCAAATAATATAGTTTATGGAAGAGAAAACAAATAAGGAGATCTAAATTGATCTGATTGGCAATGAATGTTCAGTAATGACAAGTAACGATTCAGAAATATGTCGTATTGATACATAATCAATTTGTCATAATTGCTTATCCCTTCTCTTGCCTCTACAGATATGGCATAGAAGGGCCTGTGTATTTGATGTCAAGAACTGAAAAGGGAGGTGGGGAATGGTATGTTGACGAGCAACAGCAGAAGATTAAAAAGATGGATGGTAGCCTTTCGTACAGCATTCTGCAGCCAGTTGTAATACATATGGAGGTTGTGGAGCCCCAGCCTAACCGGCCAAAACTTCAGCTTACTCTCATCTAATGGTCAGGTAGTGGGTTTTTTCTTCTGGTGAGTGATATTTAGCTCTAATCACGTGGCGAGCAACATAGGCATGCTGGGACCTGGGGAATTGGAGCCCCCATTTAGGTTTATCATTTGATCCAGATCCCGTATAGCACTGGAAGAAAATGTACAGGGGCGAGAGAGAAGACAGAGACTCATTTGCGAGTGTGGATCAATCACTATCTATCTCTTTTCTCACTTCCCCCCCCCCCCCCCCAAGTTTTTAGCTCAAAGTCACCGAAGGGGAGGGGGGGATCTACTCTGTCGCTGGCATCTCAGCAGTCGATGGAATATCTCCTCCTCCTCCTCCTGCTTTATACACTTATATGATATTTGATACTGATCAGATTTGAACGTTATCAAACTTATATAGGGGGCCCATATTCTCGATCTGTTTTTATGAAATATTAAATTTGGCCACCATTGTAACTGTTGGTTTGGAAGGAAACAATTACGGGTTTTGCAGTTCACTGGAGTATTAGCCTTCATTTTCGTCCCTTTTTTTTTGGGGGGGGGGGGAGGGATTTGGCAAGTGTTTTTGGGATGCATTTTATGTTAAAAGCAACTGTGAATAGCTTTGCCAAAAGGATACGTACTTACTAATTACGGTGTAATCATTCAGGAAATTCCATATTTTCATAACTTGCGGAGGACTAATTAGTAGTCGTCGTGGTGTAGTGGTAGTTATTATTATTATTATTAATTATTAATATCATAATAATAATTTTGGAGAAGATCGATTTGTCAGAAGATATAAACGCGGCTCAGGATTGTAATTTCAAATGCCTTTCTGAATTTATTAGAATTTTTGTCTGATGCCCTATTAATGATAACAACATGGAAAAATATAAATTTTGATTTCTGCATTTTGATCAAATTTTGCTTTTAGTTCTTATATTTTTATTTTTTATTGTTTTAGATCCTTCAATGAATAAAGCATAGGGATTTTGGAAAAACTTAAAATAATAAAAAAAAACAAAAATATAAGGGCTAGAAGATTTGAAAGTGCAGGAATAAAGTTATGTTTTTCCTAGAATTAATATACATTTGATGACTTGCCATTGTCACTGAAAAGTGAAAAGAGAATGAGAATGTAAGATTGAACGAGGTGAAAAGAAATATATATCTATATATATATATCCTCCATACAAGATCAAATGATCAAAGATGGAGAGACGAGAAATAATTGGTTGTGAACAAGGCTGCCGTTCTTAATATGAGTTCAAGGCACTCAAAACTCTGATTTCTGGTTTATAATTTCCCAACACCAAAAACGAAAGCCATTTCTAAACAGTTTACCAATTTCAGGAGCAAAAGGTAAAAGGAGGCAGTTTTCTGCTTTTTTTTGGACAAAGACACTTAATTTTGATAAACAAATTTCTCAATAAAATTTTAAAATCCGATGACTAAAACATTATCTTCTTGAGTGCCAAAAGAACGCTTCTAGTGTCCCTAGTTTGGTCCTAGGATTTATTGAGCTTCAACTTCTGAGCTCACGGGTACATCTTTCCTGAGGTGCCCAGAAACTTCATCAATGGCAACATTTAGCTGTGCTATCTTCTCACTCAGTATCTTGCGATTCTTCTGTTAGGTACAGCAGCAAAATAAATAAGAGTTCAATGAAGTAGTAAATATGACTTCAGAGAAAAACTTCCATGCAAAGTTAAGCATACAATGACATTTAACCACAAGATTAACAAAAATATATATATTCCTTATTTCAGAATATATATATATATATATATATCCTAAAAAACTAGCTACATAATGGAATTAATCTCCATCCTAATTTGGAACGGATTAGGCCCAATCATGTCAGAGATGTGACCTGTGGCATTTCCAAACATAAGATGCTTGTAAAATAAATTCAGCTTCACAATCAGGGATCCTTTAGTACACAAAGAATTTAAAAAAGGAATTAAAACAAAAAAAAATGGGAATTAAAAAATAACTCGTGTACATATATAAGACATTCTTTTAAGACAGTCTATTCCAATATTACTATTTTGAAGGACTGAAAAAGTTAGAGAGTAAATACTACTCCCTCTCCCTCATTTTATAAGACATTTTTTTAAGTAAAATAGTGAATACCAGTGAAATCAATTAAATACAGTTTGAAATATTAATTTCTTAAAAAAATAAACTTTTAAAAATACTCTTCATTTAATAAGGGGAAGAGAGAGAGATATTTGAAGAATGAAATAACGAGGAGTAATATTGGAATAAACTTCATTAATGAATCATTATTTTTCTCAAAACATTTTATATTATGGAATATCAAATCACCCCCAAAAAAAAAACATCTATAAAATAGAGCAGGAGTATTAAGTAATCATTACAAGAATATAATTGTACAAGGAATCCAACTCTGTCCTCCTTACCAAACGGAGCCTTTATTTTATTTTTTTGGCTTATTTGCATGCCTCAGTTCACTTTCCTTCAAGATTTTCACATTCTACAACCACTATGAACTACAGTAAAAGGTGTAATTCTCTCATTTTTTAGATGAAAATGGCGGTCTCATGAGACTTGCATCCACTTTGATATGCTGTTCTCCATTAGAGTTTTGGTTTCCCGTGATAATAATTTCCACCATCTATCAAATTACTAACTTTTGCTTTGATGGAAAGCGGAAGAGTTCTCTGATTGCAGAAGTTGATGGAAATACAAGCAAGATGAAATACTTGATAACAGAAACAGAGAAAGCATAAGTGAACAAAGGGGAAGACAGATTTTCCAGTGTGGTTAGCTATTTGACACCCTTTGTTATTGATAATAAGAATTGAGCACTTTTGAAGCATGTCTAAATGAAATTCAATTTCCTATCAGCTACCACCAAGGGTGTCAAAGGCCACTCTTCATGGACTCGTGATGAGATAAAATTGAAATAAATGAAGGTTGACCGGCGAACAGGGTACAATACTAAAATAAATGACACAAACACTATGATAAACAAATAATATCCTCTTTCATATATATAAAATCAGAATGGTTTCAAAAAACAGATAATTGCAATAATTTCTTACCTCCATAGCTTTCTCCTCATCATACATAAATTTTGGAAGCTTCTTCATGAGATCAGTTTTGTCGGATCCAGAAAGGGCCTTGCTTATCTGGAAAGTTCAAGCCATAGAAGCTTTCAAATTCCCTATATGGTCCTTAAAGTCATCAAAGCAAGCTTTCAAATTGAAACAATGTATAAAAAGTTCCTTCAAAAGCTGCAGTTCACAAACCTTATAGGGCTTTACTATCCTAGTAAATTCATCATGCAGCTCTCTTTTTAAGCATATACTCATATAGCTACATCAATATTATTAGATAAAATTTCCACCAACCAGACCCAAAGAATTATTGAGAGTAATATCTATAATCACAAATCTTTATCGAAAGAAGAAGCAAATAACAAGGAATCAATGCAGAAGAAATTTATTCTCACCAAAAGGGAGCCAAAACAATTATAACCAAGTTCATTTCCCTAATTCATGACAGAAAGTATGAAAACAGTCCAAATCATGGGATTGACCAGGCAATATTATTCTACAGTTCTTTTTGAAGAAAGTGTGGACATTCATAAATAAAGCAGAAGCTAAGCAACGGCAAACTGGTTTGGTTTAAAAATCACTTGAGGACAAATACTGCAGGTGATGCGGTAACAAAGATCCCGTGGGGAAAAAAAACTGAAGAGTCAAGGGATTTCGCTTTTCCTCCTTCTTTCTGGTCCCAAAAAAAAAAAAAAAAAGCCAAAAGGGAGGAATTAGTACTGCAGACATACCTGAGGAGCATACACACAACCTAGTGCTCCAACAATTAGTCCACCCAATACAAAGCCTCCAACAAAGATCCCCCCATTATTTGATCTTCCTCCATCTCCTCTGTATCAGCATCCATACACAGACAAAAAATAAAACTATTAATAAGTAATAATCAGAAAAATAACTGATAAAATAATATGCTTGTATTAGGGTATTTATAATGCAGACAATCAGATTAGTCAATATCTATAATCAATAATCACAATACAAATTTTAATCAATAAAAGAAGGGGGGAAAAGCAGGTGAAAAATGATAATGCTTATTTCCCATTCTTTTGGGTTGAATGAAACAGTCAAATAAAAGATAAAATCCACCATTACCCTGCGCGAGCTATAAGTGGCATGTCACTTGTTTTCAGCTTTGCTTTACCCCTTGAAGAGAAACTTGGAGAGATTTTAATGCAGTTGCTTTTCAGAATGCATTGATCCACTGGCTTCAATGCAGATCCTAGCATTAAAATGTTCAAATATTAGGCTTCTTGGAAAGTCACTGAAAAGGGATAAAGCCATAGAGGGAAATTTTCAAAGATTTAATAAGTTGAAGTTATCATACATGTGTAAAGTAGCAAAGATCATAAATGATAAAACCCACCAATCAAATAGATCAACTTGCCACCAGCTACGACACTAATCAGTATGAGCGTATAACATCAATTCATATCCGCAAGCTCAACTTATTACAAATATCTAAGTGGGGAAGGATAAAAGATGGCAAGATGTGTTTCAACACTCTCAAATGGTCAACATGAAATCAACAGAAATATATACATCGGGCCTTGTGTTTGTAGACATTAGCCATTTATTTTGAGTTAAATCTGGCTGCACACTATCAAAATAGGAGCTGCATGTATGATGATGATATTCAGAAACATTTCAAAATATACATGTGATGCTTTACATTAAGCTTACGGCACTGTCTGTGACCATCTCTTGTCATTGCATGCTGCCTAGGTCACAAATTCGCCACTAACCAGAACGAAACAAAAGAAAGAATCTTCTCTGGCCTTCGAAAATTTAATTAAATTGAAATAAGCGAATATATATCTTTTTTTCTTAAGAGCCAAAGTGAATACATATCAAACAACACCAAACAGAACTTTGTGCAAGAGAACTTCTGGAGACCCACCAACGCATTAGAGTTACATACTTAATTCTGAAGTATCAGTGTATCCATATATGATCTCACGAACAAGGTCTAACTAATGAAAAACCACAGAAATATTAAAAGCAATTCCACAGAAACTGCCATCATCAGAAAAGTAGGGCAACAGTTTACAGTAATACCGTCTCGGCAATGGCCATAAACAGTAATCGACAATACAATGAGGCAAAATGTAGACGAGAGCTATAACAACCTGAGAAAAGCTGGGATTGAGGGTTCATCACCGAGCTTGATATAGCAGCCATTGCTCCGAAGCTTGAGGCAGCAGAGGCAGATTAAGAACTAGAATGAATGGGAAGGCGATGGTGAATTGTTTCCGATGAAATGGTAATGAAATCAGATTCGAAGATTTCTCTCCGATGATATCGAGAATCTAAGATTGTTAATTTATTATGCTTCGGTTTTTTCGCACCTCGTCCAAGTTTTTAAATATTTTTTAATAAATTTTAAATTTTTGTAGCCCTTTATTAATAAGAGAGAGAGAAGAAATTTTATTTAAAAAATAATAAGAAATACTATTAAATATTTGGCTAAATTAAATTACATACGTATAACTTCCTTAACTTCAATCTATTACCAATTCTTATATTTATATATATAATTTTATAAATTAATTATCTTTATCTAACTTAAAGTTTAGGAGGTTATTTGTATATTAATTAACATTTAAAAATTTAAATATATATAAAAATAAAATTTAAGAGAATATACAATTAACAGTTAGAGATATTTGCATTGATCTAGAAGTTTAATAAAGTTTATTATTAAATTTTAAATATTAAAAGATTATTTTATAAAATGGGAGTATTTATTGGAGCCTCAATGGGCCTCATAAATCGAGGGCTCATAAGTACTGATGCCGGCATTACTGGTACTATGCTTCACTTGCCAAACTCGACGCAATGAAATATACGTATGCAAATACCAAATTCTTCATTTTGGTACCAATTTCAACACGTGTCATCTTCCTAGTGTGATTTAAATTAAAAAAAAATACTTTTTTTATATATTTATATCTTCTCTCCCCCAAATTACGTAACAACCCTATTAATTCACGCATCAATTATTTGTGGAGGGTAAAGTTGGAAAAAAATTAGTTGTTCAATAAAATCATGGAATGGCAATGAAAATGAGACATGCAAATTTTTTTCAAACAACATTGAAAATGTGATATGTGATGGAGGTAGTAAAGTTCAAGAGATCACCTGATTAAATTTTGAGCTATTTTCATTTCAATTGTCCCTAATAAGCAAGCTATCGTTTAATTTCCCCTCTTTGTATAGCAAGATATTAGCTAAAATTCACCATATATTACATAATTTAAATATAAAATTTTAAAAAATTACATTGATTATTCTAATATAGATGTTCATATACATATTTAATGAATAAAAATAGAGTACATAACAAAAGGGGGGGGATAGATGAGATTCAGATGCACGTACGTATTACTAGAGAGTGAATGAATGAAAGAGATTCATCTGTTGGTGAATGAATAACATTAAAAATGGTGTGTCTACATTATTCATGAATAACCACTGAATGCGTGCTCATTAGTTCATCCAATAAATAAAAGAATTAAAAATATGTCCCTGTGTTCGATAAGCAAATTAGTATATGAATAATGCATCTTTCTGAGTTCGGTGGACAAAGGGGCATACAAAGATGCTCTACTTCCTACCTGATAGTGCAAGGATTGTGGTGCCTCCAATTTTGTATTGCTTTTTGTTTCTGTTTTTAATTTTTTTTTAAAAAAAATAAGATGATCTGCTTGTAAGTATAAACAAGTCCCCGTGTGCATTGTGAACCGAACTACTAATATAACATTTGATATCTAACATATTCAATGTATTTACAAGTTTTAGGAGATTAGAAAATGTATCGACACTCTAGTCAGTGGTCATTATATGAGAATTCTGTTTTTGACCCCCAAAAAAAAAACAAACACAGAGCGCGCGCGCACAGAGAGAGAGAGAGAGAGAGAGAGAGAGAGAGAGAGTTTTGTAATGGGTCAAGACACACATAATGGATCATGAGCCCAACATCAGTATACTAAACAGTTTTCTCTATTTATACATGCACACTCTCATTCTGTCACTGTGTGCGTGTCGCGGATTTATAAGAACCGAGAGTATTTATAAATTACAAGGAGTATTTATTATATAAAACTATGTGCAATGATACACAGGTCCATCGTCCGCCGAAAGTCTCTTAGTTCAAGAGCACCACGCATTTTCTTATAGGAGAATGATCACTTTTCCTTGTATAAAAAGGGAGATAAGTTAAGTGCGCATGTCTAATTCATTCCAATGCCTATAACATATGAATAATTTGACTGATTAAATTAAATATGTACTCCTCTAATTCTATTTGTAGAAAAATAAGAGTATTTGTTTTTATTATATTTATAATGCATCTTAATAATTATTGTATTTATCTTTATCATTTCACTCCTATTAAGTCGTGGTAATATTATTAAATACTATAGTATTTTATTTTTAAAATGTCTATATTTTAATGGGGTAAAATTAAAAATTTGTTGAACTTTTAGATAAAATTGATAAAATTTAAAATTTTTCTATTCAGATAAAAATACAAAAAAAATTTATAAATAAAATTAGAAGAAATATATCATATATATGAGACATGACATGCAATGGATCATAATCCCAATATACAGGCATTAATTTTTTTTTTATTTCTTGTATTATACTTCTCATGTTTTGATATTTACATTTTTGAAAACTTCGTAGTTATTTTCCCTTTTTGGCTGCCATTGCCATCGATTATATTCACTCCATTTTGGATGATAAGACATTTTTTGAGTAAATTTAATGTCTCAAAATATAAAATATTTTTAAAAAATTAATATTTTATTAAATAAATTTATTTTAATATTATTTTTTTTTCTATTTAATTAATGTTACCCTCTCTTTTCAATGTTTTAAATGGAAGATATTTTTTAAAGTTAATATTCTTATTTTGAATAAATAAAATTATTAAATATATTTAATAAAATTTATTGATATATAAAATTTTATTTAAAAGTATTTTATAGTTTAAGATAAATAAAAATTTGCTTCTTTAATTTGAATCTTTCTCGCCTTTAAAACTCTCTTTTATTATAGACAGGGACCAAGCTTCCATGATATCAGAGTTTGCGTCTCTAATTTTTGGCATATATGTGATATCTTATTTTTCACTCCTCTAAAAATCATTCAAACACAATAACAATAACAATAACAATAACAAGTCTTTATCTCATTAAATAAAATCAACTATATAAATTATAAGATGTCATTGTATTCTATCATTTACAAAACTTTTAAAAATATTATTAATTAAGAGATCACATTCAGTAACTTCTAAGAGTGTTCTCCTGGGCTTTCCTCTATCTCTCTTAATAGGGTTCAAAGTTATATACTCAACTCTTCTCACTAATGCCTCCCGTGATCTTCTTTATACATGCCCAAACAATCTCAAACGAATTTTTATTATTTTTTTAATAGATACTACCCTCACATTTTTGCATATGTGTTCATTTTAAATTCTATCTTTACATGCATGTAAGTATATCCATCTTAACATTCTCATCTCTGCTACTCCAACTTTATGTTCTTGCTGTCTTGTTAGAGCCTAACATTTACTACTATATAACATAGCCGGTCTAATAGTAGTACAATAAAACTTTTTTTTAAAATTTATTAGGCACCTTACGGTAGCAAATAACTCGTTTAGTTTTTTTTTCTAATTAAACCATTCAGCTTGAATCCTATGCAAAATATCCCTACTGATTTTAATGGCTCCCCAATATTTAAATTTTTTTATTTGATGTATAATTTAATCTTTTAATTTCACTTCCAAATTATTATCGACTAGTCTCTTATCAAATTTATAATATAAATATTTCATCTTACTCTTACTCGAATAAAATTTTTTTAACTTCAATGTCCTCTTCTATAATTTAAATTTACAATTAATCTTTTCTTGTGTCTCTATATTTTTTGGTGATGATGATTATAAATTCAAACACGATGATTATAAATAATTGAGATGATGATTTTTTGGTGAACCAACTATGCAATGAATAACCAGCATGTACTTCAACAATTTGCATTATTGAAGATGCTTTCATCGTGTCACGAAGAGACAACCAATTAATGATGGAGATGGATTTGTCAAGAAAAGGACTAAAGCTAGAAATGAATAAATACTCTCACCCAAAAACTCTCCGACTAATCCAAACCAAATAAACAACCAATTTAGAAATGGCTGAACTTGGAATTCACTTCATTACAGCAGCAAATCAAGTTAGAATTCTAGCTCCTACTGTTTTACTACGTCATCTTTTAATGTTTAGTATACTTCCTCATTTTTCTTAAAAAAGAGTATTTTTGTCTAACTTCATAAAAAAAAAATTGGATAGTCAATATTTTATTTTAAATTTTACCCTTTTTTAGTACCAAACATTAATTTTTGTTTTTAATAGGAGGCAAATAATTTTGATATCTTCATACGAATATTTTAGGTAAAAAGACAATGATTATATTTAAAATTTTATAAAATGACTTACTAATTGAAATAAAACAATGGCATATAGTTTTTTTTTCCCTTTTATCAAAGCATTATGTTATGAGGTTATTATTCTCTCTAAAAAAGGTTAGCCTATTAAAATGTGCAGCACACTCGTTTATATATTAAATCTGTGACACCCACGTTATAGGTGACCTATCGATTAGATAAATTCAGATTTCACTTGGGTACCATTTTATCATGGGAATATTATTTTTTCCAAAAAGCTAACATGTTGGGATGCATAGCATATTGGCTTATATAATTATGACCATTCACAGGTGCATGACAATTAGCTCTACTCTTCCATTGTTATTTTTTAGCAGCCATAAACGCGATTGAAGAGGCAGCGTTTATAACGGAGTAGACCCACAATCCCAGGCTCGTCCACAGATTTATCACACGTCTTCATTTGGCTTAGATGACAACTAAGCTTCTGTGCAGGGGCGTACCCTCGTAAGTGTTGAGGGGCATAATTTAAATTTTAGCACAAACTTGCCAACCAACCAATAATAATAATAATAATAATAATAATAATAAAAGTATTCTCCCTCTCACTGCATGCACCCGCACATGTATATTTTCAATTTGTTGTTACTTATTTTTATAATTGTCTTTTTTACCAAAAATATATTCCCTCCGTTTAAAAATACAAAACATTTTTTGAGGTGTTAGATATTAAAAAATATAAAGTATTTTTAATTTCTTGAGGTGTAATCATTGATTTTTTTTTTCAAAAGTATCCATATTAAATGAATTACTTTATATTTATTGTAGGATATTTAATATGAATAGATATGAAAAGATAAGATTAATTT